TCAATATTTATGCTTGCATGGTATATGCTAGTTATAGGATTGAATGACGAAATAAAAAACTAGCATGCATAGGTTAAGAAACTAGACTTATGTTTATTTTATGAAAACTAGACCCTTATTTCTAATGTTGATCTCATGGGGTATTCTAGTTTTTGTGTATGTCTAGTTACTAATGGTTCTAAGGATGGTATATTGGTGCACTCCGATTGGTATCACGCTTCAAAGGTCCATCTCTTATACCTTAGCATCATTTGGTAGACATTGTCTCCTATATTTCCTATCTAAGCATATGTGCAAGCTACAATCCAAACTCTTAGCACATATGTAGGGGGAGCAATTGCTACCATTTGGGATTCATGAAACTTGTCCATATCCTTTTACACATGGTAAATATGCTTGGGCAAGCAACATGGATTCAAATGAATTTCAATTTATATCTTTGTGAAAGGGTTGTCGTCAATTACTAAAAAGGGGGAGATTGAAAGCTCTAGTTTGGTTTTGGTGAATTGATGAAACCCTAAGTGCTAACCTAGTTTATCAAAGTTATTATGAGATAGGTAGCACTACTCCAAGTGATGAAGCAATGGTGAAGATCATGATGACGGTGATGGCATGGTGATGATCAAATGCTTGGACTTGGAAAAGAAGAAAGAGAAAAACAAAAAGCTCAAGGCAAAGATGAAACTTGATAGGAGCTTTTTCATTTTGGTGATTGAGACACTTAGTGAGTGTGATCACATTTAGGATCGATAGTCGTACTATTAAGAGGGGTGAAACTTGTATCGAAATGCGGTTATCAAAGTGCCACTAGATGTTCTAACTCATTGCATATGCTTTTAGGATCTAGTGGAGTGCTAACACCCTTAAAAACATTTGTGAAAATATGCTAACACATGTGCACAAGATGATACACTTGGTGGTTGGCACATTTGAGCAAGGGTAAAGAAGATAGAGTTGAAAAGGAGTTAGTCGCACTGGTCACAGAGTGATCGGACACGTCCGAAAGTGGGACCGAACGCGTCCGGAATTTTATCCAGTCTTGGGGTAGTCAGACAGAAGTGACCAGACCCGTCCAGAATCAGGACCGGACGCGTCCGATATTTGGACCCGAGGTGAGAGACTAAGTGAAAGTGACCGGACTCTGGCTCAGTGGAGTGACCGGACGCTGATGAGTTACTGTTCAGCATTAGGTCAAAGTGATATAGCCCGATGCAGGATTGTAGAGAGCGATCGGACGCGTCCGGTCGCCACACCGGACGTCCGGTGTGAACCAGCAAGTCTCGGGTTTTCAGCGCAATAATTCATCGAACCCTGGGAGCGTCTGGTCCGGTGTGATCGGACTTGTCTATTCAGCCTAGAGCGGCTCTAGGAGCTCTATGGACTCGACCTGACGCTGCGTTTCCCGGGTCCGGTCATTTTCTAACAGCGCGTCCGATCATGTAGTATTACTGTGCATAGAGATAGCCGTTGGGCGCCAATGGCTAAACAATTTGAAAAGGACATATGGCGGTCAGGCTGTGACCGGACACGTCCGGTCACCACACTAGACGCGTCTGGTGCACACGACCTGCGCGTTCGATCGCAGTCAGCCTAATAATTGAGCCAAAGGCTCTATTGTTTGGGGGTGTCTATAAATATCATTTGACCAGCTCTAGCTCATTATCTTGGCCATTTGCATTGACATAGAAACCTTGTGAGCTTAGCCAAAGTCCTCCCACTCATCTCCATCTTTGATTCATCATCTTTGTGAGATTGGGAGAGAATCTAAGTGCATTGCTTGAGTGTTTGCATCTAGAGGCACTTGGTATTCGTGTTTCATGCGAGTTTGGCTTGTTACTCTTGATGGTTGCTGCCACCTAGATGGCTTGGAGCAGCGAGGATCATCGAGCGAAGGTTGTTGGTGATTGTCTCCGGCTCCGATCGTGGTGATTGTGAGGGGTTCTTGACCTTTCCCCAGCGGAAAGCCAAAATGTACTTTAGTAAATTGCTAGTGGCTTGTGTGATCCTCATCTTGTGTTGATTGTGCAGCACCCTATTGAGGGTTTGGCGTGTGATGCCAATTAGTGCGTGAACCTCCAAATGAGTGAATCGCCACAACGAGGACTAGCTTGTCGGAAAGCAAGTGAACCTCGGAGGAAAAATCATTGTGTCTTGATTGTCTCCTTGGTATTCATTGGTATTCACTCATTGGTCACTTGCCACGGCGGTATACCTCTTTACCACTCTCTTGTATTTCATTATACATTCACTTGGATAGAGCTAGTGGTAGTTAAGACTATATAGTGTATCATTTAATTGTATTACTCTCACTAGGTTGATCACCTAGGTGTTTATTAATGACATAGCTTTGTTGTGATATACTAGAGATCATAGAAAATAGAATTGGGTAGGTGGCTTGCAACCCCAAGTATAGTGCTAGTGCAAAATTTGCTTCGCCATCTTATTGACTAATCATTTGTCTTAGTGTTGTTGTAGAAATTTTTAATAGGCTATTCACCCCCCCCCTCTAGCCATTAGGACCTTTCAACGCGGCGCCAGAGATAGGTCCAGTGTCTGGTCGTAACTCAGTGCTCTTGGCTAGGGCTGCGCCACCTCGGGTCAACTGACCGGACGCTCCAGGGGTGAGTCCGGTCACCTTGGAGCCGGAGTCCGGTAAGGTACCTTCACACCTTTTTGTTTTTCTAACTCCTCAACCTCTTCACCCTTGCTTTAAAGTTGCTAACCACAAAGTGTGTAACTTATGTGCACATGTGTTAGCATTTTTCCAAGCATTTTTCAAGAGTCAAATGTTAGCACACTAGGTCCCTAATGCATATGCAAGAATCATGTCACCTAGTGGCACTCGATAACCGCTTAGCCAAAGATTTCTCCTCTTTATAATACGGCTATCGATTCTAAACACACTAACACCCTATATGGTGTCTTGAGTGCCAAAACAAAAACCTATTTAATACCTTTGCCTTGATCTCCTTGGTTTTTGTTTTTCTCTTTATTCTTTTCAAGTTGGAGCTTGATCACCATCATTACATGTCCATCTTCATCTCCATGGACTTCATCTTGCTCCACCACTTGGATTGGACCATCCTATCTAATCATACACTTAGATGCAAGGATTAGTCCATAGGTTTCATCAATTATCAAAAACCAAACTAGGGCTTTCATGTGGGATGGGCGCGCGGCAGCAGCGAGGCGGAGTGGTCACACGGCGTCCGGATGGGAAGGCTGCGGCTAGAGAAGACCGCCGCATTGGAGAAGGCCAGCGACGGGCGGATGGCGCGGTGGATGCACCCGCGGCGGTCACATGCATGCGACAGTGGGGAAAGAAAATGTCGCTGTGTTTTTTATTTTTTTGAGAAACTGTGCCGTACTGAAGGTGGAGCGGAGGAGGTCAATTGAGCCGATCATTGGACAGGCCCGGGAACGAGCTGTCCGGAAGGAACACGCCTGGACGGACGAGCCGTCCGGACGGAACACACCTGGACGGACGCCCGTGTGCCGGCATTATCGTATAAAAAACACGACCGAGGAGAGATGCCCCCTATCGTTTTCATTAAGACCAAGCGACTCGTCCCAGCCGCGAAAAGAACCCCCAAACTCAGCGAGGCGGATTTTTATTGTGTAGCACCTAGGATTCGAGCCCTGGGTGGGTGGCACCTCTACAGGATGTCCTACCACTGAGCTACAAGCCCATCTGCAATTTGTTGTTTTTATAGTATTGTCATTTCATGATTTCTCATTTCTTAGATAGAAAAATTAAGTCTTGGCACACTTAGTTAAAGGAGTCACTAAGCACTATACTTGCCAAATAGCAGTTTAATCCGCTTAAACACCATGTAAGCTCTACATGATGGTAATCTGTTTCAGTTTAATCGTTTGTTTATCCTGTTTAATTGACCATTTAGCCTATCTAATAGATCATTTAGCTTGAATAATAACTAAATGGTAAGTGATTAATTGTTTACTATTTAGCGTTTAGAAAAACATTGTTCTAGTCAAGGGCACGTCCAGAAAAATAAACTGCAATTCACATGTACAGCTAACGTCTTAGTGCCCAAATTCCTCACGAGTACTTTTTTAACGGAATTGCCATATTTTAGGTGCATGACAATTAACCGGTACAATTAAAAAGACAACACACAATACAGCCAAACAATGATAAAATTAGAGAGAATTCCTTATTTGACACTGGAAAAATGAGTCGTTCCTTTCTTGGCCCTGAAATTTTCTTCGTTTCCTATTTGACACTACCGTCAAATCCGTTAGCTAACGGTGTTAACTGGCTGTTAAAAAGACGTTTTTGCCCCTAGAAAAAAAAAGCGGTGAAGCAAATTTGAGAGGAAAAAAAAATCTGCGCCTTTTTTTGCAGCTGGGCGCATGCATCAGAGGCGGGCGCAGGTTTTTTTTCCTCTCAAATTTGCTTCGCCACTTTTTTTCTAGGGGCAAAAACGTCTTTTTAACAGCTAGTTAACACCGTTAGCTAACGGATTTGACGGTATTGTCAAATTATGGATGAAAGTTGAAGTGAGTGTCAAATAGGGAACGAAGAAAATTTCAGGTCCAATAAAGGAACGACTCATTTTTCCAGTGTCAAATAAGAAATTCTCTCATAAAATTACATGTAGTCTAAACAACCAAAAAATCAAGCACCAAAATAGAAGCTATGAATCTTAAAATACCAAAATGGTCTTATAATTTAGGACGGAGGAAATACTTTGTTTTCTTGCTACTATTATAGACATGAAAAATTATAAAAGCAGAACAAAGAGAACCATAACTGTATTCATGGTCAATTGTCATTGCACTGCGGAATATATCCGGTGGCCATTGAAGAGCAAATGTAGAAATGATCGCAAAAAGAAAAAAAAAAGCAAAATGTAGAAATCAGCGCTCTTGACTCGTGGGAGTGAGCGCCGAGCACCGGCTGCTCAGTCATGACGTCATCTTATGGTAGAACAACCCCGTAGTCAAATACGGCAGATTGCCGCGGCCCCAATGCCCCCATGCCGCCCTCCTCTCCGTCTCTCCGTCTCCTCTTCTCCCGCCGCCGCCCTACCGCTCCGCACCACCATCTCCGCCGCCGCCACAGCCTCTCCACCTCCGGCCCTGCCGCGGCCGCTGCCATTCCACCTCCCTCCCACAACCGCGCCGCGCACCTCGCCGCCGCCGTCCACGGCGCGGTCGCGGCCAAGAACTTCGCGCACGCCATCCGTTTGACGAAATCCCTCGTCCAGGTGTCCTCTTCCTTCCCCGGGCGGAGTTCTGCTGCCACAGCCGCCGGGGCCGGCGCCGCATTCGCGGCTCTCTCCTCCACCTCCACCTCCCCTGCCCCCGCCCTCGGCGTGCTCGTCGTCGCCCTCTCCCAGATGGAGCTGCTCGACGAGGCCCTGTACGTGTTCCGGCGCTTGTGGACGCTGCCGGCGCTGCCCGCGTGCAACGCGGTCCTGGATGGACTCGTGAAAGCACGCAGGTCTGGGTGCGCCTGGGAGCTGTTCGACGAAATGCTTAGACGGGGGATGGTGCCCAGTGTGGTCACGTACAATACTCTTATCAATGCATGCCGGTACCAGGGTGCTGTGGCGAAGGCTCAGGAGATGTGGGATCAGATGGTGGCACGGCAGATTGATCCGAATGTGGTCACATACACGACGATGATATGTGTGCTTTGTGAAGAGGGCTGCATTGGTGATGCTGAGCGGTTGTTTGGCGCTATGAAGGAAGCAGGGATGCAGCCTAATCAGTATACATACAATGTGCTGATGAGCGGTCACTGTCTGAGAGATGATGTCAACAGTGCATTTGTGTTGTACCAGGAATTGCTGAATAGTGGCCTCATTCCAAATGCTGTTGTCTTTACAACCCTGATTGACGGTTTCTGTAAAGCGATGAGGTTCAGTGAAGCAAAAGATATGTTCCTTGACATGCCCAGGTTTGGGGTTGCTCCTACGTTCCTGTGTACAACAGTTTGATGGATGGAGCTTTCAGGTCTGGAAATGCACAAGAAGCATTGTCACTTTATCAAGAGATGACTCGCTTAGGTTTGTGCCCAGATGAGTTCACCTGCAGCATTGTTGTGAGAGGCCTTTGTGACGGAGGGCAAATGCAGGTAGCGGCCAGGTTTCTTGAAGGTGTGAGGGAAGATGGTGCTAATCTGAATGCAGCTGCTTACCATGCACTGATTGATGAGTACTGCAGGAATGGGAATTTGGAGGAAGCACTAGCAACATGCACTAGAATGACTGAGGTTGGAATTGAGCCCAATGTGGTGTCATACTCCTCCTTGATAGACGGGCATTCAAAACTAGGGAAGATGCAAATAGCAATGGCTATATACACTGAGATGGTGGCTAAAGGGATTGAGCCTAATGTGGTCACATACACTGCTCTTATTCATGGTCATGCCAAGAATGGTGGCATAGATGCTGCTTTTCGTTTCCACAAGGAAATGATAGAGAATGGTATTTCACCTAATGCTATTACAGTGTCAGTTCTTGTTGATTGTCTGTGCAGAGAGAATAGGGTTCAGGATGCAGTCAGGTTTGTGATGGAGCACTCAGGGATAAAGTACAGTGATATTCATTCTTTCTTCTCAAACTTTACAACTGAAGAAGACCCTTTAATTCCAAACAGTGTGATATATATGACCTTGATATATGGCCTGTATTTAGACGGCCAACACTATGAAGCTGGCAAGCTTTTCTCCTACATGAGAAGATCAGGTATGATACCTGATAGCTTCACCTATACACTACTGATACGAGGGCAGTGCATGCTTGGCTATGTCATGAATGCCATGATGCTCTATGCTGATATGATGAAGGTTGGTGTTAAACCAATGAGGTACAAGATAGTCTGCCCTGAGATTTGGTCATGGGCACCACTGAATGACCCCCAAACTGTTGTAAGTTAAGAATTGGCTTCTACATACTTGAGATTTTCAGAGCAAAAGCGAGTTCACAGGTTGTGGAACCTTTCAGCTTGTCACAGACTCGGTCATCAATATAAAGGACGTACCCAGTGCAGAGAGCTCCCGCTCTGTGCGGGGTCTGGGGAAGGGTGTTAGTGGCAAGCCTTACCCTCGCCTGTGCAATGCGAGGAGACCGCGACTCGAGCCCGGGACCTTCCGGTCATAGACGGTAAGACTCTACCGTTTTCACCAGGCCCGCCCTTCAGACTCGGTCATCAATATGACGCACCATTTTGCTACATCTGTGCTAACATTGAAAGTTTGCTGTTTGGAAAGCCCTCTGCTTATTGACCTTGTTCTCAAGACGGATGAAAATTTGAAGCCACTGGATTTGATTTTTTGCTGCCATTTTGTGGTACAGGCTCTGAATTTTGTGGTACAGGTTCTGAATGAAAAGAGCATATTCCTTCCCTGTGACATTATCAGCAACAATGCTGATTAACAGGAACTGGAGAAGATGGTTGTGATGAGGGTTGAAGCCAAACCATTGCAAATGACATATGCACAAGCCCATCATGCACACGCAGCTGGTTGCTATACTGGGACTAGCTCTCCACTAGGGATGACCCTGGCTTGTCTGAAGAAGGATGTACATGTAGATGCAAGTATGCAACATATGCTGCACTTGCAGAGATTTATTATGGCCTTTCTCGTTTTGATGTGGGTTGACATGGATTGAGAGGGATTGGCAGGGAATTGAACTATATTCCTTGCCATTTCCTGCCAACCCCTGCGCAACAAAAAGGCCTCATAGATATTGTACAGGTTTTAGTCAAGTTTGTCGGCATATGCACTAGAGAGGACGTCCAATCTGTAGTTAGGTGGATGTTAATTTAACTGTTCACCTGATGCGACCATCAGTGATGAACTGATGATCATGTATTCTTTTAAATGTTGATGATGATTTAATTTCCCCATTTTTTTACTTATTATGTGATTATGTCACAGAAATGTGCACGCCATTTACCATGCATTTCTTGTTAACAGTGTCAGAAGGATTTCTTTCATTAGCACTATTGGACAAATAGCATTACTAGAAACAATATCTAGGACTCCCAAAAATAATTTCACCATTGTCACCGACTAAACCAAGATCCTTGAGTCTTCTTTCCTGGTAGTACTCTAGGCCATCTAATTCCTCCCCCCTCTGTTTAAAAATATTATCAATGTGCTGGAGTACTTTCTTTTCACCGGACCTTACTCCAATTGCAATTGTAAGTCTTGGCTGCAAATTCTCTCTTTCCGATAGTTCTTCATCCTGAATATTACACACATGTTTCATAAGATTAATTAAGATAAAAAGATTAAGGAAAAGAATAGCTACATCTAGTCAATAGGTAAACCTCTTCTATTGTGGTATGGTAGGCAGCAAGGGCTGATTTGCAGGCATCTTGCATGACCTGACATATTGATTCCTCATTGTCAGGACTCAATGGCAGTTCAAGGTGGCCCCAAATCGAATTCCTGAAGAGTGCTTCCAAGAGAAATGCATCTGTTCCGCCAATGCAAAGTAATCGCAGGTAAGGGAGCATTTGAGGAGGAAGGGGTTCGTCAAGGATTATATCAAAATATGCAGTTTCCCCCAGTCCGTTTAACTCTGCAATGTCAAGCTTGTTTTCATAAAATGGATCAGATTCAGAGATTTCCAGGGTCACAGTATATGAATCCCTTGATGGATTTGATTCCACAAACCCATAGTCAAGTGCCAGTTCAGCATTACTCTTGTCCAGATCGTACTGGATATATATCTGTCAATGCAAATCCCAGTGCTCAGTTATAAATTGCACATTTTTAGCTTATCACTTGAAGCATCCAGTATGACATATCAATGCACCTAGTGCAGAAAAAAATCGAACTTCATCTGTACCTGCTGTCCAGATTTAACATCCACTGGTGTTCGCAAGGAGAACATGAGTTCCCTTCCAAAAAGACCCTTTCCTTTGATCTCCCAACTTGATCCTTCTGAGGTGATATCAGGACTGTGATTAACCTGATTTGCCAAGAAAGTCAAACAATTTTAAAGAATGCATTTCCAACATTCAAATAAGGCACTCTCTGATGGAAAATATGGAATATTTTTGGACATGTTAACTTAATCATAGAAATTACAAGGACCATGTAGCAACAATAAGTAAGAATCATAGCCTGTTGGATTAGAATTTAGAAAACACCAATATCGATTGCATTTTGAGAACTTACCAAATCAGCAAATGGTACGAGAGCAAGCTTATCTCCACGGAGCTCTGGAAACACCCTTGATCTTAGTATTCCAAATGCCCATAGGAAATCATCAAATGTTATGCTACCAGGGAAGAGGTCCTTATTTGTGCTTATGATCTCTGCTTGAACACTATCAAATTCGCTTTGCACATACTCTTTCACACCCACTGTGGTGCTTAGCAACTGTGTTCCTGCAAGTGACAGAAGTAGCATAAAAGTTACCGACAAATCCCGCACACAATTGACATGAACTTTTTTTTGCATTACATTGCACACTGACCTTGTATCTCTAGGAGCTCTTCTTCAGACCTGCACTGGAGGCACCAAGCGCCACTCAAACATCAGAATGAGAATAGCTCAGAAGCAGTTCGCCAAACACAAAATAGAGCGATCGGCGTCAGCCCACTCACCAGAAGATGGTGGAGTCGATCTGGCGCGGGAGGATGGCCAGGTAGGGCGCCCACGGCGAGTCCGCCCCGCGCGCGACCTCACTGAGAAGCAGCAGCGCGACGGCGACCCAGGGCCGGAGGCCCCCGCCGCCGCCGCAGGCGCGGCCGATGTCGGAGGCCGCGACGGCGTCGGCGTCCATCCAGAGCTTCTTGGGCACCTCCGCGACGACCTCCCCGCGGGGCAGATCCCGAGCCGCCACGAGGCCGAGGCCCTCCGGCACGGCGGCTGGAAAGGCTTTTCCTCCATCGCCCACGCTATGAGAGGCGAGCCACCGCCGGAAGTCCTCCAGCGCGGACACTGTCGCGGTAGTGCTGGCTGCCGCGCGGGGGAGCAGCCGACTGTGGGGCCTCGATGGCTTCGTGGGGAGGCGGAGGCGAGGAGGCGGTGGGCGGGGGGAGTTGGGCAGACGCTGCAGGGGTAGGAGGTGGTGGTGGAGCGTGGCCATGACGCGGTGGCGCGCGGCAAGGAGGCGGAGGCGTGGGGATCCCCTGCGATGGAGGGGATTGTGGTTTGGGCGACGATGACCGTTGGTTTCCATATCGGCATATCCATAGTTTTTTTTTTTTTTTTTTTTGGTTATTCCGCCCGTTCGGAGGCCGTATCGTATCGTGGATTATTTCTGCTTTATTTGGTTTGGTGTGAGAGAAAACACCGCTCCCGATTGAAAATTTACGATCGTTATTTGAAAGCGTAACAGCAGTGATTATGGCGGGAGTGGATATAATCAGCGGTGAGATGCCGACCGAGGCCGTGCCAAAAGGCGTTTTCCCCCTAGCAAACACGAGGTTATTATCCTGCAGATGTTCCACGAATTATCTCAAATTTTAAAATGATTCAAATATGCCCATAATATGAGTAGATGATTAGTTCTTTGTACAGTGCTAGAACACAATTGAGATGGGTCGTTCAACGACATTACACAATTTAGATACTCCGTCCGATCAGAATGGCAGCTTTTAGCTTTACCTTAAGTTAAACTTCTCCAATTTTAATATTCTTAATAACTACAAATTCACACAAATGCACATCAATACATATTTCATGAATAAATAATAAAATTATAGGTGTTGATTTATTCTTATGTAAACTTGGTTAATGTTTGAGAAATTTGACAAAATTATTTTAACTACAATTTTGGACAGAGGAATCATAGAATAACATATTTATGATGATTTAAACCAAAATCCTTGAAAAGATAGAGATGTGGCGTAGGGTGTGTTTGGATATAGGCTCTAGTTGGCCAAGCTAAATTTTGGCCTTAACCAAAATAGGTTATAACCAAAATTTAGTCGTATATTAGATATATTTGGACAGTGGCCAAGCTAAAATATGGGCATTGTTGCAAATGAGCATGTGATCCGGTGGTCGGGTTGTCCAATGGGACACTACCTACCAGGGTTGAAACCCTGGTGTCGCACCTTTTACTGATTTTTTTCAGAAAAATTTGAGGGCACATTGCATGGAGATGAAAAATAAGCCAAAATCTGTCCGATCGATTGTTGTAAAGGGAAAATACTGCTCGTCTGCGGGAACATTGTTCGCATGAAACAAGTGCCCTGTGAGAGAGCGCCGACCACCACCAAACGCTGCCTTGGGGTACACGACGCGTGGTAGTGTATGCTTTCCACACATAATTGAATGCTAGAGAGCCTTCCAATCCACGCGCACGCATGTGGTTATGGCTTGGTTGATAGCTCTGCCAAATTTCACTACGAGTATGAGTATGATGACATGTGAGATACATATGTTAGTAAATTTATTTTATTTCTACCAAATTTCACTACGAATATGAGTATGACATGTGAAATCCGTATATTAGTATTTTTTTTTGTCAAAATATAGTCAACTGAAGCCTTATTTTGTAGATTTTAATTATAAACAATATTTTTGTGTCAACGATTTGGAAATATGGTATATAATTTAAGATGTATTTTGATTTTCTACCAAATTTCACTACGAATATGAGTATGACATGTGAAATCCATATATTAGTAAATTTATTTTTTTGTCAAAATATAGTCAACTGAAGCCTTATTTTGTAGATTTTAATTATAAACAATATTTTCGTGTCAACGATTTGGAAATATGATATACAATTTAAGATGTATTTTGATTTAAATAAAGATGTATGCCCTTAAAACCTTGAACTGCGTGCAACCATACATGTCCAAATGTCCCGCCACCTCAGCCCTTTTCACGCAAAATGCCTTCACACGGCCAAGCCAAAATTAGGCTGGCATTTTGCTCGCCCACGCCGCGCCTAGGATCGGCTTCCTAATGTAGTAATGTGCATAGGGAGGGCCAATTTTCCAAGGACAAACCAAACTTTGATTACAAAAGCAAATGGCTCCAATTTTCACTGGCGAGCCAAATTTTGGTATGGCGCGTGAGTGGCCAAAACCAAACACACGCCCCACTCAAAAACGAAGAGGGTATTATTACCACGATGTGGTACCGCGGTGGTGTCTGAAACATAAATGGCATGCACATGCTAAACCCCGACCCAGATAGGTATGCCATATCAGATTATCAGTATCATATGTGAATTACAGCCAAACACCACATTCTTTTGTTTTGGCAAGTCCTTAGGGATGGGATGCGAATAGCCCAACACAAAGTACACATGTCCAGCGTTTATTAGAGAAGATGAGTAGTTTGCATTGCGTCTCATACAGCCTGGTGATGCGGTCTCCCCAACCTGAATCACACTTCTGGATCAGTTCTTCCTTCCTTCGCAGAGGATAAAGTGATACCCATGCCTGCACAGGAAACACAGTGTCGTAGTAAGCAGCTGATAAAAGATGAGATACGATCAGTAGCCTTAACGAAGATGATATTTTCAAGAGCATTCAGTGTTTTCCATATTTTCAAGCAGCATAAGAGCCTAGTCTCAAGTCCAGGATTTGTGGAATGGGGACTACTGCCAGGTTATTCAATAGGCCAACAATGGAAGAAAAACAGTGACAAAGGCATACGTGGACTTGAATGGTGCGCTAACAGCTCCCACAGGAGTGTTGAAAGCAACCTCCTGGAAAGGGCCAGCCATCTTGCCACGAGGGAACCAACCAAGGTCTCCACCTTTCTTCCCTGATGGGCATTCAGAATACTCTTGTGCTACCTATAGTTTGAAAAAGAAAGTCAGGATGTGTTATCATTTTGGTACCTAATGGTATAAAAACTTCTGAGAAAATCTTCAAGAAAATAGTTAGTCAGATTGTAAATGGAAGAACAGAGTTTAAGTCCAATAACATATACGAGGTCAACAACAGAAATTTGATGTCAAATGCACCCCACTAAATAGCAGCTATAAGCATGCTCCAACCAGATCTCAAACTGAATCATTAAAAAAGTTCATCAACCTTTGAATAGGGAACATTCATAACTATTGGCCATTTTCAGTACTCTATGCAGATTCCAATCTCCAATTGGGCTTCCCAAGGTTGACAAGCCGGCGAATTTCAATTAGAGTTTACACCAGAACTGGCATTCCTAGTTCCAATAGAATAGTAAATGCATGTGAAGATATAATAGCTGAAATAGCCTCGTAAATAACAACAACAACAACAACAAAGCCTTTAAGTCCCAAACAAGTTGGGGTAGACTAGAGTTGAAACCCAGCAGAAGCAATCAAGGTTCAGGCACGTGAATAGCTGTCTTCCAAGCACTCCTATCTAAGGCTAAGTCTTTGGGTATATTCCATCCTTTCAAGTCTCCTTTTATTACCTCTATCCAAGTCAACTTCGGTCTTCCTCTGCCTCTGGAGGTCTCCATTGGACATGTCCAAACCATCTCAACCGGTGCTAGACAAGCTTATCTTCAATTGGTGCTACCCCTAATCTATTACGTATACCATCGTTCCGAACTCGATCCCTTCTTGTATGACCGCAAATCCAACGCAACATACGTATTTCCACGACACTTATCTGTTGAACATGTCGTCTTTTCGTAGGCCAACATTCTGCACCATACAACATAGCAGGTCTAATCGTCGTCCTATAAAACTCCGCCTATGTTGTCTCAACATAGCAGGTCTCAAGCCCTGGTAAAGGGGGAGGGTTGTGATAGGCGTGGCGAGCCAACGTTAAATCTAGCTATTCTAATGGAGATGAAACCTGAAAGAAATAGCCTTGTAAACAAGTTTGCTACAAAATACCTTTGCACTGCAACTTCCTCATTGCTCTTGCACATAAACACAGATTTCCAAAGCTTTATAGGAACAAGAATATAAAACTAATTTGCAGTGATCTTAACTACAACTTGCCTTTGCTCCTTTCCAAGCAAAAGCTACTACCTCCGTCCCCAAAAGAATGCAACTATGAGTTGCGTGCCAGTTAAAGTGCTTCACATTTGACCAAGTTTCTAGTAAATAGTATTCATATTTTTGGCTCCAATTCAATTTATTATGAAAATACATTTCGTAATTAATCTAATGGTATTTATTTGATATTATAAATATTTATACTTTTTATCTATAATTGGTCAAACTTGATATACTAAAACATGATGCGGTGTTTGTAATTGCATTCTTTTAGGGATGGAGGAGTATTATGATAGCTCATCATTTGGACAGCAGTACCCAGACTAGTTCCCAGTAAGAAAATGGCTAAGCCAACAGCCAAGTACTACCCACTTGATTCAGAAATATAAGATATCGGAGTTTGTTCTAAGTCAAACTATACTAGATTTGATCAAATTTATAGAAAAGAAGAATAATATTTACAACATCAAATAGCATCATTGGATATATTATGAAATATATTTTCATAACTTTACATTTTGGATGTAATAGATGTTAATCCTCTTCTCTATAAACATGGTCAAACTTAGCATAGTTTGACTTAGGACAAACTCGGATCCCTTATATTTTAGGACGGAGGAAGTAGGTTGCCAACCACAATAAAATCACCCTAACCCTTTCATCAATACAATACACAAACATGCATCATTTAGATGCCAGCAAAAGCACCCCACCTTTAACTAATCACTGCCCATACACAACATCTATTCTCTGCACTTGCCATGAAACAAATGGACTTACGGCAGTCAGGATCTTATCAAAGCGCAACCAAAGATCATCAGCTCATTCAAAATCACAGGAAACTATCAGTGCAAGAAAACAGTGATGCAGACAGTTAACTGTACGTCATGAATAAGTACAAGGTCTGTAATTAATGTTATTAAACTCCCAAAGTCACAAAGTAACGAAGTCTAGTCAGTTTCAATGTGCATAGTCGCTCACTACCCTTTTCATCTAAGCAAAGTAGCAAACCTAACTGTTCTTGAGCCTAGTTGAGTGAGCAGTGCCCATCAATCAAGCCCTTACCTTAGCAAACTCAGCAGGAGGGACTTTGTCCCCATTGTCCAGCCATCCATCCTGCAACTTCTTATAAGCTTCATTGATCTTCCCCTGCTTCTCACACAATACGTGCCTAGCTGCAGATGTAGGACAATATAATCATCAATCAGCTTTTGTTTGGTTACTTGCAACTGAAAAACAAAACATAGACATAACTAACGGCGATGCTAATTGCAACTCAATTTGACAACTTTTCCTATAAAACGAGAGAATCACAATCAGTTACGTTACGGATGGTCCATCCTACTGAAGACCTAAGACACCTCCAAAAACGTGAGATCTGACCGTACAAGCTTTCACCTAATACCATACGAAATCCTCGCGCGCAATACATCCCGGCCAACGGAGAAGGAACGGTACCTTTGACGTAGGTGCAGGTGCCGAGTCCGTCAGCGGACTTGCCGCCCTTGCCCTTGCCTCCCTTGCCACCGCCATCGTCGCCGCCAGAGGAGCCGGCCGCCTGCTTGCCCTTCCCCTTGGCGTCCTTCCCCTTGGCGTCCTTCGGCTTCGAGTCCTTCCCCATCGGTGCAAGTGCAACTGCACAAGGTGGATCCGATTGGACAGGCCAAAACCCTACTTCCAAGTAAGATTTGGCTCAGATACGACGACTGACGACGACGACGAGAGGACGACGAAGATATCTGGACGGGACGGACAAGGGCCTTGATGTAAAAGGCCTAATAGGGCCGTTTAATGGGCCGGTTCTTTTAGTTGGATGCATTGGGCTGAAATTGGACGAGTGCTCTTTCCTTCCTTAACATGGCTTCCTCTCCATTTTGGAGACGGAAGGGCTAGCGCCTGTCCAAACGTTGCTCTAGAGCCCGCATAGCGCTCATCCGCAGCATCGTGCCTCTTTCTCTAAAACAGGCCCCGTGCATCGCTAGGCGATGTGGCCTATCCGCATCCGCAAGCCAACACGGGCCCCTGCTCCTCTACCGCTGTCCTATGCCCAACTTAAGCACCTGGAAGGGGAAGGACCCAGAGGGCTATGTCGAACCTTGCTGGCGGCGCTGGAAGCGGAGGAGACACCGAGGCGAGGCAATAGTAGGCCAGGAGGAAGATGCAGCATGCGATCTACTTTTAAAACATCCGGGTGTAACACTTACAACATATGTCTTAAGACTGATGAGCTTGAAACATGCATCTGAAACACTTTGCAAAAACATCGAAAAAAACACTTGAAACCATTGTAAACGTATGCAACATTCAAATAAAACACTTACAACATATGCACGAAAACATATGCAACATCCAGATAAGCACACTTGCAACATATGTCTGAAAAATCAAATGAAACATTGAGAATAAAAGTTTGCAACATACGTGTACAACCATTACAACATATGCAACATCCCGATTTACTTTTACAACATCTATATAAAACACTTGCAACATACATATAAAATATCGAAAACACTTGAAACATGCACTTTGCAACATGGGGGAGGCCAGGGTCGGTCAAATCCAGCCATTGGGGTCAGAGCCAGCGATGAGCAATAGCGCGCAAGCAGCACCAGCACAAGCGGTGGCGCGAGCACCACCACCACCGCGCCACTAGCATCGGGCTTGGGTACGGCATAAGGCCGTGGTTACGTGAGGACAGGGTGCTAGCGGTCCCTGACACTGACGGCGTCCGCAGGACACGCGGCAATAGTGACCTGGCGTGCATAGTGTGGTCAAGATGGGCACAACGCTTGGGACATGACATCCACTCAGGCTTTTCCAAGCACTCCCTACTACCCGAGGCTAACTTTTCCCTAGTGTTCTTCTTTCCTTCCCTTCCTTGTCCACAATATGCGCCAACCTTTGTATGAACTAAGATCGCAACATACATGCTTCCTCTAAAACCACATCCTCTTATTTACTTTGAGAGAACACTATTTTATCAACCCGTTGTGGATTTCCCGTTTGGAACACCCGAATATTTCCAAGAAGAATATTTGTATCAAAAGCGGTATGGTGGTGTAACTTGGTAAAGGTACTTGGTCAACAACCTCGATACCAGCACGTGCCGGGCAGCGTCACCATGTGGCAGCTGTTCCACAGGGGCCCTCGGTTTCATCACGGCACCATAAGCTATTAGCCAGGCAACTACTACCAACTTACATGCAATGAAGGCGGTGGGGTCGTAGACCACATAACCAGAGGAGTATTGCAATTGAAGATTTAAACAATAAGGGTTTCTTTCGCAACAAGGGACAAGAAATTTAAACCCCACAATGGATTTGATTTAAAGAGATTCAAGTGTTATGCTAGGACATCCACAATTAGTTGATACAATGTTCTCTGTTATCCAACCATGACCGTTCTGCTTGCATCTGAATGGCTGCTTCTCTTGTAACCCACTTATCGTCATCCTTGAAAACCCTAAGCACGTCTAACAAGACCCAAGGGTAGATGGACGCAATAAACACAACAAAATAAAGAAAATGCACATTCCAAACGTCCTTATATAGGTACAACATATAGGCATTCCCTCTCCCATTCTTAACACATCGTTCACCTTCCCTACGATTGGACGACCTCAACAACTACGGACGAAATACAACAGAAAGATTACAATACTGGAGGACATCGACGAAAGACACTACTAACTACGGGTACATCTCCCCAAGGCAACTAATCTATTTTGTCGAACCACACATCTTCATTCCCGGGCTTGGCGGATTCTTTTACAACCCTGGCTATGGATCTGCCTCCTCTCTGGGCAGTGGCTGAGTGAGGGGAAGCAGTGGTTCTACTTCTAACACTTTTGAGGGTGGAGGTGCTGGCGGTACTGCAACACTGGTTCTCCTTCTTTCTAGCGGGTGGACAGGGATTCCCTCCACGTTCAAGGGATCCTGCCGTTCAGCAGCCAGCGTCCTCCGCTTGGCCCTAGTGACAAGGTAGGCCTCTCCCAACTGATGGGCATGTCGATCTTCAGCCTCCTTCAGAGCTTTCGATATGGTAGTCTCCTGACTCTCTGCGGCTACCGCACTGGCATGCGCTTCGGTAAGCTACACCTGGAGCATCTTGGAAAAGATCTCGGCTTCCTCAGCTCACCGGAGGCACTTCCTCAGCTCCGAGGCTTGCCGGTCATACTGCTCATCCAGAGCAAGCAGGTACGTGATCAAGTGTACCACGGTTGGACTGTCTTCTTGCGCATTCTGCCCTTGCAAAGCCTCCATACGAGCCCTCCATGCCCATCGATTCTTTTCCAAAGGTGGAAAGAACCTCATGGGGGTATGAGCAATAGGCTCTTCATAGATTTGACAAAGGTACTGCAAGGCTTTGCGGGCCACAACTTGGTAGGTGTCGACGAAACGAAACTCGGTTGTGGTCACATTTTAGGCCTCAGTGATGTTGGGAAACTCCTCACTCTTCCCAATGTAGACGGTCACTTCACACCGCTCAGTGCCATGCTTTTCATACTCACGGCCCTCATACTCGGGACGATCTTTAACTCCGAGCTTTTGCAGGGTGGCATACAAGATTTTGGGAAAACCCTCAGGGTTCAGGCAGTAACTACTAACTCAGGCTCCTGTCATCCCTGACGGTGGTTGCAAGGAAGGATTGAGCAAAAAGCTTGCTCAAAAGGAAAAGCTAGGCGAGCAAGAGTGCACCGGGTGGTGGTACTAATGGCTAGGCCAGGCCCTGCTTATAATGGCAGAGCAGTCAGTGGTCCTGGCACGGTCCACCAAGGTTCCTACGCGGGATCACTACAAATGAATCGATCGAATTTTTCGCGTGTTGGAGGCAAGCGATGTCCGAGGCCATTACTGACTAGTACGACTGCAGAGAAAGGGTCCGACAAGAGCGTAGAAAAAGAGCACGGGAAACATGGGTCACGGCAAGCGTGAACCACAGGCGAACGCGGAGCACGAGCCACCGTTCAACAGTAACTTCTGAACAGGGACGAGTCAGTCGTGCACAATATGACGCGCGTGACATCTATGAAGGGTGCATCTACCAGCCATACGGTCACAACGACTAAGGCAGTACTAGCGTGACTGACTTAAAGATTGTATACTACGCGAGAGCCAGTCCACCGGAGAGAACCTAGTTAAACCTATTCCGGATACTTAACAATAACAATAGGGCTACTTATATACTTTGTATGCAAATGCCCTAACTTTCCGCAAAAATAGGTTGTCAAATTTTAGTTTAGAAAAGGATTTTGAAGATTTATTTCCTCATTTATGCTCTGATACCACCTGTGGCAGAACTGCCTAAAATAACTCACTTACGGAGACGCTTGTCTTCCACTAGCGCGCAAGCACCACCACCACCGCCCCACTAGCATCGGGCTTGGCTCGGCCAGGCGATCAGCACGCACGACGGGAGGGAGTGGGCGGCGCGCGCCGGGCGGAGCGAGCACCATCAGCATCAGTACCAGCTATGGGGCGCGAGCACCACCGGTTGAGAGGAAGGATGGTGGCAGGCGGATAGCCATCGCGACGGAGCAGTAGCGGCATGCGTCGACGGTGCTAGGAATGTGGGACCTTGACGAGTGGAGGGTGGGGTTTTCATTCTAGAGAGTTGACAACGACCGAACGATTTACCAATAAATAAATACGAGCATAATGGAACACACTTGTTGGGCCGTTCAGGACAACAGCGTGGCCCATGGCAACATCAACGTTTAGAAGATCGAACACCCGCCCCTAAGTATTTCCGTTTTGGAAATGCAAAGTTTACTATGTGATTGTCGGAGTGGGCTCAATTGTCCCTCCCCTGTCCTAACATTCTGCTCGATGCATGGAGCCTCTTCTAAGAACCATTTATAAATTTACAACTATATTTGCCTCTCGAAGAAGGGACTACGGGTCGAAAAATGATCGGTCCTAATACACATTTCTAGAAGATCTTCCTTGAGATTCCTCAGGCCTACAAACAAGTATCAACTGGCACTAAAAATAAATCATCAGCTTAACTTATGTACTACTACCGACTTCTAGGCTCTACTGAATGTGGCTGCTGCAAACACGCATGCAGACTAACCTGCATCAACTTGCAAGACCCGAGCAACAGCAGCACTTAGGTCTTGTTTAGTTTCTTTCTCTAAAATTTATTTTCTATCTCATTGAATGTTTAAACACGTGTATGGAGTCTTAAATATAGACTAAAAATAATCAATTGCACAGTTTATGACTAATTTGCGAGACGAATCTTTTAAGCTCAATTAGTAAATGATTTGACAATGTGTTGTTACAGTAATACATGTGCTAATGATGGATTAATTAGACTTAATAAATTCGTCTCGCGATTATAATTTGTTTTTTTATTAGTATCCAAACACCACGTGCGACATCCCATGTGACATCCGATGTGACACCCCGATGTATTTAATGAAGGCCTTAACCTGACCTTTGGTAGCTTGTACTCGTAGTTTGGCAGAGCTGTCTCCATCCCAGAAAATGCCGTCTCACCGGGGGGGGGCCGCTAGCTACTCGAAGCTTGAGCCTGAGGGGAAATATTCTATTCTGACGCCAGCCGCAATCTAACGAGATCTCACCTCTCGTAGTCTGATCGCTGCACAGGAAG